GGAAAAAAAAAACACAAAATCTTACTAGACTTTCATTGGTGATCATAATGTAATATATACAGATACTGAAATAAAAAGTTGTACACTGAAGCTTAAAAAAAACCAAATGAACACACAAAAGCAGCGTTGAGGTAACATTGGATGATAACACTAGATAGCTTTTAGGTGTGCATTACTATAAATCAACATCTGTATATAGTACATTTTGTTTACAGCTGAAGGTCTAATTCTGTCCTTCACCATACAATTACCCCTCTTAGTAACCATTCATTCGGTCTAAAAGTCTAAAAGTTTGGTTTTGGTTTTTTTGGTTGATTCTTTTTTAGGTACCACATGAACATATGGTATTTCTCTTCTCCATCTGACTTCTGTCACTAAGTACAATATCCTCTATTTCCATCCATGTTGTTGCAAATGGCAAGATTTCATCTTTTTTTTTTTTAACATATATAGCTAAGTAGTATTTCATTATGTATAAATACCATGTCTTCTTTATCCATTCGTCTGTCAATGGGTACTTAGGTTGTTTCTAACTCTTGATTTTCATGAATAACCTGCAATGAACATAGGGTGCATATCTCTCTTAGAATTAGTATTTTCATGTTCTTCAGGTAAATGCCCAGAAGTGGGATAATTGTATGCCATGGAATTTCTATTTTTAATTTTTTGAGGCATATTCATATGGCTTCCCATAATGGCTACACCAGTTTACATTCCCAGACAGTGGATTTTCAAAATATCTCCAAGTCCAATCTATAGAATGGGAGGAGATATTTCAAAGTTACATATCTGATTAGGGTTTAGTATCTAGATATATTAAGAACTCCTACAAATCAGTAACAAACACAATTTAATTGTAAGTTCATCAGTTGTAGCAACTGTAATACTCTGGTGGGGAATGTTGATACTAAGGAGTAGTGAGTGCCCTGTGTATGTCAGAACAGTGGATAGATGTGATATCTCTGTACTTTCCTTTCAGTTTTACTCTGAACCCAAACTGCCATAGAAACGTTAGTCTTTTTAAGAAATGTGTAAGATGGTTAATTTATGTTATGTGTTAAGTGTCTAGAGAAAAACTGCAGATGTGTTAAAACAAGAACATACAAAGTACAAAGGAAAAAGTACAAAAAAGAAAGTACAAACAATATATCTATAAAAGCATATCAGTAGTGAAAATGGCTTTTTAAAAAAGTTATATTATTACTCCCAACTCCACAGCAAAGCTTTGTGTTCTTTTTAGACAAGTTATTTAACTTTTCTGAACTCCCCCCATATTGTTATCTATAAAATGAGAAAAATTGGATGATAGCAGCTGCCTCACAGGAATATGTAAAGATTAGAGATGATCACAGAAAGGGTGTAAAACAACCTGTAATACACAGCATGAGGTTTGGGTCATAATCCCAAAAGATACTACCAAGAACACCATATCACCAGATGTTGAAATCCTGGAAGATCAGAATCCCTAGTTGAAAAATCACAATCTGAAAAATCAACCCCCACACCCCCTCCTCAAAATACAATTCTGGAAATAATTTTTTAAATCTTTGAAAGTCATTTATTATATTTACTTTTTTTTTTTTAATTTATTTATTTATACAAGCACTGGGTACAGTCAGAAGCGCGGGAGGGTGAGAGGATTCGCCAGAGCCAGAGCGGGGAACAGAACAGGCAGGCTGATGAAATACACCCAGAGCGGGTGGCAGGTCTGCGCGCCATGTGGAACCCAGCGCTCAACTGCTGCGCCACCAGGGGAGGCCCTATATTTACATTTTTAAAAAGGGATTTATCTGAGAAATAAAAAACAACAGAACACTTCATAGACGATCTTTACACAATAAATTGACTATTGGGAGAAATTTATTTCTCACAGGTTGAAAAAAGGACAGACATCTCTTCAAGAGGATGTTTCAGTTTTTGCATTCACAACACAATAGAGTTGTGGTAATGTACTTCCATGGTGTCAAATTTGAAAAAAAAAATGCATAAAATGAATTAGAACTCTCAGTCTAGGGCCTCCCTGGTGTAGCAAGGGTTTAAGCACCACACTATGAAGCAATCTGTAGCCTCTGCAACACAAGGTCGATCCCCGGCTGCCCAGGGAGCAAGCCACGTGGTGCAGCAGACCTCTCCTGTCTCACCTGCTGCTCCCCTCAGCAGTGTCTTTCAGTCAGTCTGCCTGTTCTGTTCCCCACTCTGTCTCCTGTCAGTCTTCTCACCCCCCACATCTGTGGCCTATACCCCAGCTCTTGTATGCATAAATAAATCTTTAACAACAACAACAACAAAAAAAAAACTCTCAGTCTGTACACAATTTAGACTTCCAGTGTTGGAAATGATGTGTAGATGAAATACATAGCACAGTGAGTTGTAAAAAATACTACCCACAATTTTAAATAGTGGGGAAAATACCTTTCTAAAAAAAGAAACTAAAATTTGTCATGTGAAAAAGTGTATTACAGGGATAGATTATAGCAATTGCTTACATGTAGTCCATAAGAACTGGCTTTTACCATCATTAACTATATTTTGAGGTCCTTGCATCAAGAAGAACTGCATTTTTTCTTTTTGAGCATTCACTTTCTGAGCTTCTCTGTGATCCCATGTACATCAGCATGGACATTCCCTGTTAAATTTTCCATCTTCCATACCATGCTTTTGTGTTGTTTTGGGTGTGTGGAAATCTGTTATGCATCTACTCAGATGGACCAACGACTTAGTGGAAATAATAGTGGCGTCTTCTCATCATGTGTATAATGGTTTTCAAACCCTTCTTAACTTTGCTGGCATCTTGAGGCAAATGTGGCTTTAATTCATTACAAGTTTCCAGAATTGCATCACCTGGAAGAAATTCTAATGTAGATAAGCAATACATTTTATTTATTTTTTATAATAGAATTGGTTTTATTTATTTATATTTTACATCACTGTTCATCTTTGCACAATATTTGCTTTCTCTTCTCAGGTGTAGTCCTCATAAAATTCCCACCACCAATTCACCTATGCACCATCACCATAGTCCCTTGTGCTCTTCCCTCCCCTGTTTTGAGCCCGAATCCTCCCCTGCAGATATCTCTAATTTACAGTTGCTTGTTAATTTTGTTTATTTATTAATATTAATATTATTATTTCCTGATCCCTTATTTGGTTTCCCTACATTCTTCCTACAAATGAAACCATCTGATATTTTTCTTTTTCCTTCTGGCCTATTTCACTGAACGTAATCCCTTCCAGCTCCATCCATGTTGCCACAAATGGCATGAGTTTATCTTTTTTGATTGCTGAATAATATTCCATTGTGTATATATACCACATCTTCTTGATCCAGTCATCTATTCTTGGGCATTTGGGTTGTTTCCATAGCTTACCTATTGTAAATAGTGCTGCAATAAACACAGGGGTGCAGGTGTCCTTTTGAATTAATGTTTTTGTGTCCTTTGGGTAGATCCCTAGGAGTGGAATTGCTGGGTCACATGGTAGCTCCATTTTCAGTACCTCTAAGGTACCTCCATACAGCTTTCCATAGTGGATGGACCAGTTGGCATTCGCACCAGCAGTGCAGGAGAGTTCCTTTTTCTCCACATCTTTGCCAACATTTGTTGTTGGAAGTTTTTTTTAATATGTGCCATTCTCATTGGTTTAAGGTCGTATCTCATTGTGGTTTTGATTTGCATTTCCCTGATTATAAGTGATGTTGAACATTTTTTCATATTCCTGATAGCCATTTGCATTTCCTCTTTGGATAAGTGTCGTTTTAGCTCTTCTGCCCATTTTTGACTGGATTGTTTACTTTGTTTATATTGAATTGTGTGAGCTTTTTAAAAAAGATTTAATTTATTTATGCATATAAGAACTGGGGTGTTGGCCAGAGGTGTGGGGGGTGAGAGGATTCACCAAAGACAGAGTGGGGAGCAGAATGGTGGATCTACTGAAATACACTGCTGAGGTGAGCAGTAGGTAAGACAGGAGGCGTCTGCTGCGCCATGTGGATTAGTCCCTGGCTGGGGATTGAACTTGTGCTACAGTGGCTGGTGGGCTGTAGCTTGATAGTGCTAAGACTTCACCAGGGAGGCCCAAGCTCTTTGTTGATCTTTGTGATCAGTCCCTTATCGGTTGTATGGGGTGCAAAATTTTCTCCCAGTCAGTAGGGTGAAGAGACACAATTTTTATAAAGTGAACTTTTTGTCTTTGTTTTGGATTTTCTGCCAAATATGTTGAACTAAATGGTAACACCTTGAAATTCACTTTAGAAATCTTGTTGCACCTAAATCCAAATTCGTCATTATAGTTTGAGAATTCAGGTGAAATCCATTTTCTTCTGCAAATTTTCCCAAGTCTTTAAATGAGTGCTTTTAGATTGCTTCACTTTTTTAGTCATTATTACATAAACAGCCAGATAAGTTCTAGAGTATTCATCTCCATCAGGGCAATGAATTCTATGTAGTTGATAAGCACTAGTGGAGTCATTTTTGAAAAGTCCTTTATTCAATGTGAAACTAAGCTACGTTAGATTTAGCAGTAACACTTGAAGAATCTCTATCAGCAAGTATCTTTGGTTCAGAAGGTCAAATAACTTGTAAAATTCTTTTTATTGTGAGCATTTTTTTGAAGGTAAACATAGTGCTGCATATGAAGGAATAGAAGTTGTTGCTACACAACTGACTGATTTGGCAGGGAGTTTTCTGTATTCTATATTTTCACTTCCTTTCAACTTTCAGGATTTCAATATTAGGGTAGGATTTTAGATTTTTAGGAATTTTGATCTTCTAGAATTTCAATATTCAGATTTATGGTGTTTGTGATTGTGTTTTGATTGGCAACATATGGCAGTGTGCAATAAATGAAAGCTATTGTCACTAAAAATTTTGTTAAGTGTCTTGTCTATGATATGTTTATATGTTTATTCATTATTTCTTTCATAGTCCTAATTCCCATTTGAACCCTAACCTGCTTACCACCATTAAACCATTATTTTTTAACTTTTTTGTTTTGTTTTACAGGCAACAATTGGTATTGACTTTTTATCGAAAACTATGTACTTGGAGGATCGAACAGTGAGTAATGTTTTCTGTGTGTAATTTTCTGTAATACTTGATAGAAAACTATGGTCAAAGCTATCATCAATGTCACTAAAAGAACTAATTGGCAAAGTTAACAAAGTAGTTTACAAGCCTTGAGAAAAACTGTTATTACAGAATGAGTAGTTTGTATCTCCAGATGAAATCCAAAGGGCAGAGAAAGCAAACTTTTTGGAAAATCCTGTTGGCCTTAGGCTTGCTAAACACAATTTGTCATCTTGATTTGGGAAAATAGCAAGTAGCATTGAGATAATTAAAGGAGTATTTGCATGGAGTAATTAGAGCGGCTCTTGAGGCATTGAGAAAGGTTTTATTTAAATATTACACAGTTTGTGAACTTCAGGTTTTTACTTGTCAGAATATGACACAAACAGAAGTGACTATGCATGGATAGTTATTATGTATTTCCTTGTTGGATTTTTGTCTTCTTTAGAATGTTCCCTTTAAGTACAGTGTGAATTCTGTATTCTAGCTTACTATCCTTTGAAGAAATTTCCTGCCACCTAAACAGTGACTATCTTAAATGCATTATTTTAGGAGCTATACCCAAAAAACATTTCATTGCTAATGCTATTTCTTTATTAGTATCTGAGTTTTTTTTTTCCTTTGAGAATTTCTCTTTTGTTTTATTTTAACATAGCATGTTATTTCTTAAAATTTGGAAGCTTTGAAACTGCCTTATGATGGTCTAAGAAATTTTCATGTGGGGTTGCAAAGAAACATTTCTCCTTTTTGTTAGATTATAAACAGTGTTATAGGACAAAAATGTAAGAGAAAAATAAGCATTATAGTCAGAGACCCAATGTCAAAGAGTTCTAGACTCAATAAGAAAGATATACCTTTTAACTTAGATTTTCAGAATAGCTTTAATTTCTTTACTCTGATACATTAGTTCCTTTACTGTGATAACCTGGGCTGCTCATTGACACATGTCTCTTTCATTCTCAGTATTTGAATATCAACAGAGTCTGCTCTTTGCCATCCAGAAGGCATAGGATTCAAAGAGAGGTTTTTATAGGGAAGGAAAAAAGAAGTGTGTTTTTGAGTCTGTTAAACCTTCATCGACATTTTTAAGTCATGTATCTTTAGAGCAAGCATATTTTTAATATTACTTAGTAATCCCTTTTGGGAAAAGACAGTTTTGTGTTATTTTCATTCCTTACCTCTCTGCCACCTTTTGCATGAGTCTCCTTTTTATCTCCTTTCCACCTTCCCCCTTTTAAAAGCATTATTTCTTTTTTCTTTTTAGTATGAGTTTGGGGTTTTGTTTTTTTTTTTGTTTTTGTTTTTTTCTGGTTTTTTTTGTTTTGTTTTGTTTTGTTTTTTTTATTTATGTTTTCCCATCCCACAGATCAGGTTGCAGCTGTGGGATACTGCGGGTCAGGAACGTTTCCGTAGCCTCATTCCCAGTTACATCCGTGATTCTGCTGCAGCTGTAGTAGTTTACGATATCACAAGTAGGTATTTTGCAACGGGTTGACCTTTCTTATTTTTCTTGCTTGTTTGACTGATTTTGTTGTTAGGTACGATTGCAATTATGGGACACAGCAGGTCAAGAGCGGTTCAGGAGCTTGATTCCTAGCTACATTCGTGACTCCACTGTGGCAGTTGTTGTTTATGATATCACAAGTGAGTGGGGGGGGATTATGCATTTCTAATCTTCTTTCAACCTTTAGCTTAGCTGCATGCATGTTCTTGTCATGTGCTTGTTTTCCATACTGGCATGTAAAAATGAGTTTATCATAGCAAAACTTACACAGAACAACTAGGCCAACAATATATGCTTTGGAGTTTGTATCTTTATTTCTACTGTGCCAGCTTTTTTTTGCTTTGGAAATTTTCCTTTCGGTCCAAAGCTTTCTTAGGATCTTGATATCCATAAGGCACACCATAATTATGATTGGGAGAATATCTCCTTTTTCATTTAATTTGATCTTAGATTTCTCTAAAATAATATAGTCTGCATTTAAGCCTCCTGCCAAGTTTTGTAAGTCCTCTAGAGCTTTTGTTGAGGCTATTAAAAGCTTCTTCCAGCCAACTTTTTTCTGTTTTACCCTCCCAGCCATCCTTTCTTTACAGAGGAAGGGAGAGAAAACATAATGTGTAGTTTTCTCTTAATCATTTTTTATTTTTAAATAACTTCTGGATTCTGTGACTCACTCATGTTTTAGCTAACAAATTTTATTTTCATTTCTCTCCTAGAAAAAAATTTAAATGGGAGACTAAAGCAAGTAATATTCTTTCCTTTTGTTTTCCCAAAAGATTGAATAATGCCCTTTGGCATTTTAAGTGTCTATAAGTTTTCTGTGGAGCATTGGTAACTGACAGGAAAATGCTCTTTGATTAAAATTGTCTTTGTGAATTAGTTTATGATATATATTAGGCAGTAATAAGCATCATTCCATATAGCAATCCATAATTTATAAAAAACAGGATAGTGCAGCAACTTGGACTTCTTTAAAAACATTTTATATAAATAAACTGTTGATTTGATCAAGTAATATACAGTTACTATACATTTTTGCATATCTGTTCAACCAGTAGGTATATCTACTTTACAAGAATTATAAGTTAGAATTTGTACTGAGGGACTTTTTTTTTTCCTGGTAAGGTGCTGTATGCAGTCTATCTTCTTTTCAGACTTCACTTTGGGTTGCTACTTGTTTGAAAAATATGTGTTCATTATTGTGTGTTGACAGGTTTTGCAGCTTTAAAATGTTTGTGCTTACTTTAACCAAATCAAGTGAAACTTGATCTATTTTTCATTAAAAATTATGCACATGTGATTAAAATGTAGTAAAGTGTTTATTTAACCGCTATGAAAAACATTGAAATACTCAGAATTCAGCTCTAGAAAAGGTGGCTTTTGTTACAAGTGATTCTGTGCATTAAACTAATAAACTTCAAGTTAAAGTGATCACAAACTAAATAAGCAATGCAAACAGAGTGGTGTTTAGAGCTATTTAAAGGCTTTACAAATTTCCTGGTTATGTTGGGACTTACTGGCTGACATACTTTTGGAGATGCTTTCTTTGTCATGTTTGATGAAGTGTAAGTAATCAAAAAAGCATTGTGGCAATGTAGCACCATATTATCTGCCATAGCTGTCATACATTTTTAAAAGTTTTTTTCCAATTACATACAGTACATTGCACTCACTTGGGCATGTTCAAAAACTTTGAACTACTGTATAAAAGGAACCTTGAGGATTTTATTTTTGTGATTTGTCTAGATGACTGACAGTTGTACTCAGATAAAATGGAGTTATGTTGCAGGCACATTAAAAGTGGGTCCTAATGTGCCAGTCCTTTCAACTTCCAGGGCTTTCATTTTCTTGTCCGTCAATTGGGGAAACATTTGCAATAACACTAATCTCTCTATCCACCTTCCTACACCAGATGTTAACTCATTCCAGCAAACTACAAAATGGATTGATGATGTCAGAACAGAAAGAGGAAGCGATGTTATCATCATGTTAGTAGGAAATAAAACAGATCTTGCTGATAAGAGGTATGAAGTGATACTGTATGTGTATGGAATGTTTGATATCTTTGTTAAGCAGCCTGCTTGCTTTTGTTACTGAACAATTATTTTGAAAAGAGACATATTTAATTCTTAAGTTTATACTGTCCTTTTCTTTAGTGTGGGAACCTGAAATATAAACAAACATGGAACCCAGAGCTTAAAGGAGAGTTTTTTTCTTTTGTGTAAAGCCATATGTAAATAATTTGTGCAAGATTGTTACACATGAAGCTAGTAACTATTTTGCATATTTTAGGACTTACAAACATAAACAGAGTTTGATTAAAGAATAAAATGTTTTTTTAAAAAAACATCCTACCATTAAAAAATATGATGATGAAAAGCACTCTTTCAGTAATCTTATTAATATTCATTGTAGAAAAATATTCATTATAATTCAGTGTGTAGTTTTTCTTTCTTCTTTTTTAATTGTATGACTGAGCCAGACTGTGTAGTTGAACTGAATAGCTTGATTGTGGTACCTTAGTCAAATGAGCAAAGCCATATTCAAGTCACAGGATGCATAATGTTTTAACATTCACTGTAGGTCTCTTGGCTTGAATATCTGCTTTTAGCATTCCTAAGTGATCTGTTGGATATTCTTTCAGCTTTAAATAGTCTTGACTATTTTATTTAATAGTAGAAGGTTTTAGTGCTTATTATTTGTTTATTCATACATTAGAAGCTGAAATTTGGGTAATGAACTTGTACTGTTTTTTTTTTTTTTTTTTTTTTTAATAGAGGCATGCTTTATTTATTTGTTTGCTGGTTTGTTTGTTTGTTTTGTTTATACAAGCACTGGGTACAGTCAGAAGCGCGGGAGGGTGAGAGAATTCACCAGAGCCAGAGCAGGGAGCAGAGCAGGCAGAAGGACTGAAGTACACTGCTGAGGGGAGCAGCGGGCGGCAGGAGAGGTCTGCGCGCCATGTGGGACCCTCCTCTGGTGGCCGGGGAGCAGCCGGGGATCGAACCGGCGCCACAGAGGCCGCGGAGCAGCTTCGCAACCCAGCGCTCAACTGCTGCGCCACCGGGGAGGCCCTGAACTTGTACTGTTAATTAAAATGTTACAAAGAAATCCAATATGTTCAAAGATCTATGGAAATGTTTAACCCGTTCTGCTCATGGTACCCTAATTGGAATTGGCACTGCAGTGACAAAAGTCTTTCTTTTGTTGTTGTTAAAGATTTATTTACTTATTTATACAAACACTGGGTACAGTCTTTCTTAATTTAAAAGTAAATTCAAAGTATGAATTAATCTTTTTTTCATGAAATCACTTTTGAACATTAATTGCCATCATAAATTTTCGTATGTTATTTACTCCAGTATGAGAACTTGAAGATCATATATTTATTATTCTGGTAGAGCATCCCAAGAGACCTTCATTTTTACTTATTTTTGAGACCTTCATTTTTATTTTTATTTTTTTAATTTATTTATACAACATCCGGGGTACAGGCCAGATTCACAGGAGGGTGAGAGGATTCACCAGAGACAGAGTGGGGAACAGAACAGGTAGACTGACGAAATACACTGCTGAGGGGAGCAGCGGGCGAGACAGGAGAGGTCTGTCACGCCATGTGGGACCCTCGCTGGCCGGCCGGGATCAAACCGGTGCTGCAGAAGGTGCGGACAGCTTCACAATGCTGCGCTCAACCATCTGCCCCACTAGGGGAGGCCCAAGACCTTCATTTTTAAACAGAAAAATAATACATCTCATTTTTTCCCCCTTTGTAGTCAGAGTCTTCTAAAAGGATGCTTATAAGCATTTGTTCTTTTTTCATAGTATTTCAGCTGGGTACACAAATGTTAAAAACTTATCTAAATTATGTATGTAATAATTTTTCTCTAAGATAATATTTATTGCTTTGGAATTAACCTTTTTTCTCAATAATTTTCGCCAAACTACCACCCTCCTGCTATTCACATTAAAAGAATTAGAGTGTTGTACATTGTACTAAAATAATTTTAAAATGAATATACAACTTTTTTTTTAAGGTTTAAAAGAAAATCCGGTTGTGTGCGTGCCCTTTTATAAGCATGACATAAAACCCTGAAACCATTAAAGGAAAGACTGATAGGTTTGAATGCAAGATATAAAGATCATAGTCACCTATTAGATCATAATTATTTAGAAGATTGATAATGCACAGTATTGTCTAGAGGCTGAATAAACTAGAACCTCTCATATAGTAGAAATGTAACTAATAGAATTTTGGGAGGGAAATAATTTAACAATAACAGATCTTAAAATACTAACGCTGGTTCATATCCAGTAATTATTCCACAGAAATGTGAAAAATTAACATACAGAAATATTTATTACAACATAATTTCTAACACTAAAAATTTTTAATCAGTCTAAGTGTCCATCAGTAGCTATAGCATTTATAAATGTAATACTTTATGGCCACTGAAAAGAAGAGGAATTTATTGAAATCTAATCATCTTTAAAATGCACTTGATTGGTGTGTCTAGCATGATGTCCTTTCTGGTTTTTTTTTTTAAGTGTATATTTTGCTTAGAACAAATCTACGTAACACATACTTGGATTCATTATAGTTGTTTTGGGAAAGGAATGAGATTATGGAGGACTTTACTGTAATGATTCATCTTTTAAAATTTTGATTACTTTTCTGATTGGAAGTAAGTGTTTCAATAAAAACAATTCAAAGTTAGGGCCTCCCCAGGTGGCACATCGGTTGAGCACTGGGTTGCTAAGCTGCCTGCAGCAGCCTCTGCAGTGCCGGTTCGATCCCTGGCCGCCGGCAAGGGGTCCCACATGGTGCACAGACCTCTCCTGCTGCACCTGCTGCTCCCCTCAGCAGTGTATTTCGTCACTCTGCCTGTTCTCTTCCCCACTCTGGCTTTGTTGAATTCTCTCACCCTCCTGCGCTTCTGACTGTACCCAGTGCTTGCATAAATAAATAAATCAATCTTAAAAAAAAAAAAAAAAAATGAGGGCCTCCCCGGTGGTGCAGCGGTTGAGCGCTGGGTTGCGAAGCTGCCCGCGGCCTCTGCGGCACCGGCTCGATCCCCAGCTGCTCCCCAGCCACCAGAGGAGGGTCCTACATGGCGCGCAGACCTCTCCTGCCGCCCGCTGCTCCCCTCAGCAGTGTACTTCAGTCCTTCTGCCTGCTCTGCTCCCTGCTCTGGCTCTGGTGAATTCTCTCACCCTCCCATGCTTCTGACTGTACCCAGTGCATGTATAAGCAAAAAACAAACAAACAAATAAATAAAATAAAAACATGCCTCTATTAAAAAAAAAGTAAAAAAAAAAATCAAAGTTAAATGTCTATCACTTTGAGAATTCTTTTTTTTTTTTAATTTGGAAGAAAAACCAGAATGTATCTGTTTCAGTGTCTCAGTGTGAGCTCTTACATGCTGAGTACTTTTTCTATCTCCTGTTGTCAGTCATTCCCAGATGTTTCAGACCTGAGAATTGCTTTGGTAAATATCATTTGTTAGACCTCTTATGACTTTGATTATAATATTTCATGTTTCTTTTTAATTTGGGGAGTGTTTGATCCTACTTTGTAATTAAATTACTCTAGGTTGAGCACACTGAATCTATAAAGACTCTTCCTGAATTCTACAAAATCAGGCCACAGTGAAACCATTACTATAGCTAAACTTCAACCATTTATTCCAGTAAATACATTTAGGATTCTAATCCTTCACACATAGGGTTTATAGACTAATACTCATTCAGTCAAGAAATATTATTGAAGGCCTCCCTGGTGGCACAAGGGGTTAAGCTCTGCACTATGAGGCAGTCTGCAACCTCTGCGGTACGAGTTTGATCCCGGCTGGCCAGGGAGAAACCCACATGGCGAGGCAGACTTCTCATGTCTCACCTGCTCCCCTTGGCAGTGTATTTCAGTCAGTCTGCCCGTTCTGTTCCCCGCTCTGTCTCTGGTGAATCCTCTCACCCCCCTCCATCTCTGGCCTATACCCCAACTCTTGTATGCATAAATAAATCTTTAAAAAAAAAAAAAAAAAGGACTATTATTGAATGTCACTGAGGTTTCAGAGGATACCCCTGGAGGATAAAATAGGTAACAGAAGAGACAAGTTTCCAGGGGACTTTAATTTCAGAGAATGAACCTGACAGTAGGCAATAAAATACATAGTATGCTTGATAGTTAAGGGTGAAAAAATAAAGCACAGAAAGGGAATATGAAATGTCAAGGGTGAGTTTAAAATATTAGGATAGGGCCTCCTGGGTGGCACAAGGAGTTAAGACGCAACCTATGAAGCTATCAGCAGCCACTTCAGCATTAGTTCAATCCCCAGCCAGGGAGCTACCCACATGGCGCAGCAGACCTCTCCTGACTCACCCACAGCTCCCCTCAGCAATTATTTCAGTCAGTATGCCTGTTCTGTTCCCCTTTCTGTCTCCAGTAAATTCTCTCACCAACACCCCTCCCCACCTCTGGCCTGTACCCCAGTTCTTGTATGCATGAATAAATAAATCTTTTTTTTTTTTAAGATTTTTTTAATTTTATTTATTTGTTTGTTTATTTATACAAGCACTGGGTACAGCCAGAAGCGTGGGAGGGTGAGAGAACTCACCAGAGCCAGAGCGGGGAGCAGAGCAGGCAGAAGGACCGAAGTAAACTGCTGAGGGGAGCAGCGGGCGGCAGGAGATGTCTGCATGCCATGTGGGACCCTCCTCCCGTGGCCGGGGAGCAGCCGGGGATTGAACCGGTGCTGCAGAGGCGGCACGCAGCTTCGCAGCCCAGCGCTCAACCGCTGCGCCACCAGGGAGGCCCAATAAATAAATCTTTTAAAAAATATTAGGATAGTAGTGGAAGACTTTACTGAGGAGATGACTGGTAACTTGAGAAAGTAAGGGGGTTAACAATGCAGATATTTTAAGGAGGAAAAAGTCTTTGGTAAATGACTCAGAAAAAGTAAAATCCCTGAGTTTGAGTTAGGAATACCCTTGATTTATTTGAGGAATAGCAAGGAAGTCTATATTGCTGGTTAAGAGAATAATGGGAAGAGTAGTAGGCAGTTAAAAAAACATGGTAGGGCAAAGTAAAGACTATCTGAATGAGATTAGAGGGTTTCAGTAGAGGAGTAATTTTTCATAGATCTCTGCTCTGTTGAAAACACGTAAGGGTAGAAGGGAGGAGACTAGTGAAAAATTAATGCATACTGTAATCAAGCAAGAAAAAATGACTAGTACTAGAGTAGTGGTAGGTTGTATGGCAATCAGTGGTCAAATTTAGAAGATAGACCTGTCAGGATATACTGATACAGTGGAAGGAATACACACTAGCGAACAGAGTATGGGATGTGAAAAAACAAGGAATCAAAGATGACACCCAATTCTTGATCTGAGTAATTCATTAACTGAAATGGGAAAGACTGCATAATGAGCATGTTTGGGAAAGAATTGGTCCTTTTATGTTTAGATTGGCTACTTTTTTTTTTTAAGATTTATTTTTTAATTTATTTATGCATACAAGATATGGTGTGTAGACCAGAGGTGCAGGGGTGAGAGGATTCACCAGAGACAGAGTGGGGAGCAGGACAAGCAGATATACTGAAAGGCACTGCTGCAGATACACTGCTGAGGGGAGCAGCGGGTGAGACAGGAGAGGTCTCCTGCACCATATGTGGGTTAGCTCCCTGTCTAGGGAGCAAACTCGTGCTGAAATTCAAGCTGTAGCAGCTGGTGATAGGCTGGTGATAGCTTGATAGCGCTGAGACTTAACCCCTGCACTGCCAGGGAGGTCCATGTTAAATAGCTTAGTGAAGATGTCAGATACAAAACAGTGATCCAAGCTAGAGACAGGAATTTGGGAATCATTAACATACATAGTTTTTAAAACCACAAGACTGCATGGGTTCACCAGTGAGTGACTATAGCTAGACATCTAAAAGGAGTAATTTTCACGTCATCTAAAAGATTGTTTCTAGGAAATTCACACTGAATTTAGGGTTGAAGTATTTATTTAGGGTATTAAAGGTTTGCAGAGTGCCAGGTTACTTTCAAGTTTAAAAAAAAATGTGTACACACATACATACATAGAGAATGAAAAGATAAGAAAGCAAATGTAGTAAAATGTTATTGTCTGTTTTTAGAGAGTGGAGAATTTCTATAATAATTTCTTCTTGAAGACAAAAAGAGTGGAATCTAATATACATGGGTATAAGTTTTGGGAGTAAGGAGTAGAGATAGTTTATAAGGGCATACACACAGGTAGATTGGTGGATAGATGTGGTAAGAACTTATAGAAGTTCTCTTGCATTGCTTCAGTTTTTCTTTAATGGAGAAATCAGATTTTGATTGTCAAATGATAGTTTGATCTGTTTAATTACACTATTTGCGTATTTATTAAACACCTGTTTCCAGCTGGACTGTAGGAACACCAAGGTAAGTTAGATAATCTTGCACTTGAAGAGATCACAAATTGAGACACACTGCTAATTATGTAGCATCACAAAATGTTCTGTAAAAGAAGTATTGGAGTTATTAATACCATGTATCTAGAGGCTTTAACATGTATGTCTTTTCACTCCTTTATTTCACTTAATGGAAATTCACAAAATCTAATATAAGAAATGACTCACAATGTGCAAAATATTAAGAACAAATGTGTTTATGGTGTAAAATTTGACAACTTTTATTTTTGGCAATTTGAGAATGGTTACATATATTACAGTAGCTAATTGTTATATGAATTATAGTAGCTAATTGTCTAGCCATAAAAAAAATGCTTTACACAAAGCTTTTAATCAAAAGGCTTTAGTGCTTCCAGTGTAATATTAAGAGAAAATAACAGGCTATTAAGTTTTTAAAAATAAAAAAATTGCAGGATGTGCTCGACTAAGTTAAAGCAAATCATTAAAAGTGCCTTTTTAAAAATTGTGTGTTCAGGTATAACATATAGAAGTGCACAAATTTTGAATGTACTTCAGCTTGATGAAGTTTAAATTATTTTCACCTTTGGAACCAGCATATATATCAAGAAAAATTACTTTATGAACATTGTTTATAACCTTTATAATGTCACTTTTTGGGAAGGAAAATTTGTTTATCTTTTTAAATTTTTCTACAGGCAAGTTTCAATTGAGGAGGGAGAAAGGAAAGCCAAAGAGCTAAATGTTATGTTTATTGAAACTAGTGCAAAAGCAGGATATAATGTAAAGCAGGTAAGTGTTCTTTAAATATTGAAGAAATATTGTGAAATAGTTACGTAAATATTCTACAGTTTAAGATTTTCTTCCTTTTAGCAACAGTAGCCCTCTGCAGCAACCTATTACAGTGGAAAAAATACAATTTGGCATAGTTTTAAGAAAAAGAGAAAAGACTTGGCCAAACTTTTCAGATTGTGGCCAAGACAGCCACTTCATTACGATTGCAAGATTGTATGATTACACGGTTGTAAACTTAACATACTTACTCTACATGCCTACTGCATTGTTTCCAGGTAAATTGGCCTTATTTCAGAGTTTGATGTATAATTATAATAAAAGAAATCAAATACTTGTTGTCTGGAGTAATGTTTTACTTACTCTGATAGTACATTCTAGTGGGTTTGTTTTTTTTTTTAAATATATGTATTTTATGTCATTGTTTATTTTTGTACAATGATTGCTTTCTCTTCTCAGGTGTATTCCCCATAGAATTCCCATCACCAATTCACCTGTGCACCATTGCCATAGTCCCTTGTGCTCTTCCCTCCCGTTTTGAGCCCTCTCCCTTCCCCTTCCCTCTAGAATGTGTCTGATTTATAGTTGCCTGGTAATTTTGTTTTTTGTTGTTATTTTTAACTCTGATCCCTTATTTGGTTCCCCATTATTCCTCCTATAAGTGAAACCATCCGATATTTTTCTTTTTCCTTCTGACTTATTTCCCTTCTAGCTCCAATTATGTTGCTGTGAATAGCATGAGTTTATCTTTTTTGGTTGCTGAATAGTATTCCTTTAATAAACTGCTGGTGTTTTAACAGTATTTATCACTGGAATCTTTTAAGGGGCAGGGAAATAGGGGGAGACCATACTGTTAAACTGTTTTCTACAAGAGGGGTTTGCCCAAAAGTAACTCTTAAACTTTGTGAAAAATAGAGTGGTTACCAGAGGAGGGAGGGAAAAGGTTGTAGGAGGGTAGGTTAGAAGGTGTTCACCTGTTAGTGGGCACTAGAACTTGTTGGTAGGTGAATGAGGCTTATACACACACAGAAGTGAGTATTATATAGTTTTAAAATCAGTGGTCAATCAATAAAATTCTACTAAATTAAAAAAAAAGAAACATACAGATTGTAAAAATAAAAAAACAAAGTGGGTGGCCAAAAATGCAACTACTTTATTCTTCAGGGTTATGTGTCAGAGAGAGTCATGATCCCAGATTTATAGGATTTAGAGATCAATAATTTTTTTAAATTGTAGGCAGTCAAGAGAAAAGTAAAATCCATTAAACTGATGAAGTGGAACTTTATGAAGAATTCTCTTGTATTGTTTTCATTTTTGGCAATTTATCTCCCATCCTTATTTTGATACATATAAACTAAATAACTGATTTGTCAACTAATTCTTTCCTCATGACATACTGTTTTGTGGTTCCACGCTATTGTTTTCTTTGTTGAGAATTATTTTTTTCTTTCTTGACTGTTACCTCTTCTTTTTTTAAATTTCAGTTTAGATGTTAACTTTTCAGAGACATTTTCTCTGACATTCTCCACCATACCTCCAGGCTCTGAACAATGATTTAGTTCTGTGTTTTCTCAGATTTCTCACTCTGTGAAACCACTGTCATAGAACTTACCACATTGTATAGAAAATATCTGTTTCCCAGAATGTATGTGGAATTTTGTGATAAGCACCTGAACCCATAGAAACTACAAACAATTAAAGAATTTGAGTTAATAGAAGTTACATTATTATCACATTTAGTTGTTTTAAGACAAAGCAGTGACTGCCTTCATCTAGCTTTCTGTTGCTGACATTTTGATGAAAGTGTGACCTAGTTGCTTATATGTAAAAGTAGGGCCTCCAGGACATCATTCTGTTAAGGTTAATGTCTAAAGAAAGCCCTTCTCTGGCCCCCTGATTCTGACCTTAAGTAGTCTCACAGGTTTGGAAGTTCTGAAGTCATCAGCATGTAGTGTGGGTATTATTAGTTATAGCTAGTATCTTCATGATATTTGTTGCTTCCAATTTAGATAATTCCTAGCATGTTAAGAAGACAAAGGTGTGTCACTTATTTACTACTTTATGAGCACAAAATTTTTTTAACAGCTTATAATCTACATAACACAAAATTCACTTATTTTAAGTTTGTAACTCAGTTATTTTTAGTCAATTATAAGATTATGCAACCATTATCACAATCCAGTTTTAGAACATTTACATAAGTTTTTCCAAAAACCTGGCCCCTGCAGCAACAAATAGTTAAACAGTAATAGTGAAGAGGGATTTCTTTCATAAAACAATCTTTACGTGAATTAAAAACCCATTTGCTACTGTATTATTTTCTTCTTATTTGTGCACGTGATTTTGCTTAAGTTCCTGATTCTGTTAGGACTTGATTTTACTATATTTTAAACATAAATGTGACCAAAATTACTATTGAAATTTTTTATAGAATTGTCTTAAGTTTTTGGTAACTTCTCAACTCACAAATACCATCACTTTTCATTTTATGGGAAATACTTCAGATGACCAATGTATTAGTTAGGATTTTATTCAATACTCAGAGAGCCCTGCTTTGTCAAAGGATAAATTTAGTTAAGGAAGGGGAAAAAAAGTAACACCCTTACACCTGCCACCCCCAGGAATTGAGAGAATGAAACCAAAAAAGAATTAAAACTTTGTTAATAAGTTCATTTAAATCATAGGTTAAAATCTTCTCCTTTTAACTCTCAGTAATTGAAGTGAATCTATATGTGGCATGTAGAAAAATGACTGGCTGATTTTAAGTATTAACTAAGAAATAATGACATTTAAAAAAAATTTTTAAAGATACATTTATTTATGCATACAGAACTGGGGTACAGGCCAGAGGTGCGGGGGTGGGGGTGAGAGGATTCACCAAGACAGAGTGGGGAACAGAACAGGCAGACTGACTGAAATACACTGCTGAGGGGAGCAGCAGGCAAGACAGTAGAGGTCTGCTGTGCCATATGGGTAGCTCCCTGGCCAGCCAAAGATCAAACTAGTGCTGTAGAGGCTGCGAATAGCTTCATAGTGCTGTGCTTAATCCCTTGCACCACCAGGGAGGCCCTCATGTATCTCTCTCTCTCTCTCTTTTTTTTTTTAAAGATTTATTTATTTTTATACAAGAACCGGGGTATAGGCCAGAGATGCGGGGGGTGAGAGGATCCACCAGAGACAGAGCGGGGAACAGAACAGGCAGACTGACGAAGTACACTGCTGAGGGGAGCAGAAGGCCAGACAGAAGAGGTCTGCCTCACCATGTGGGACCCTTGCCGGCCGGCCGGTATCGAGCCCACACTGCAGAGGCTGCAGACAGCTTCACAGTGTGGCACTCAACCGCCTGCGCCACCAGGGAGGCCCCCCTTATGTCTCTTAATCCACAGGTATCAAGTTACCTACAATATGCAAGACCATTATAGGTGCCTTGAACATTATAAAGTTATGTAAGATTTGGTTCTTGACTTCAAGAAATTTATAGGTTGAAAAGCATCACATTCTCATGAAACAGTGCAATAGAGGGTAGGTGATACATAATAAATGCCTAGTGAGTGCTACAGACAGCAAGATCCATAGTTATTATTGAGAAGTAAAATGATTGTTGGTTCAAGGAACTATATTTGTATATTTAGAATGATCGAATAACGCTTTGTTTAAAAACACCACAACCTGGATTAAACTTTTGAGGACTGTATTTGGTTTGGATGAGTAAAAGACAGCATACTGTAAAGGAGAACACAAATTAGCATATAATGGAGGATCACGTAACTCACATTGTATAACTGCTATGACATAAATATTAGCTTTAAAACATATCTTTATTGCCTTCCTACAAAGCACTGCACAAAGTAATATATAAGTGCTTAGATATTTTGGTAATGTTGCTTTAATTTTACAGAGGAAATCTGAGGTATAGAAACAATATAACTTTCCCAGAATTACCTAAATATTATGAGTAAGAGTCCAGTGTTTATCTCAACTTAAAGTGTCCTTATGAAGTAGATGAATATGTTCATTTTGCTGAGAAGAAATCAGTTTTCAGACTAAATAATATGCTTATGATTATAACTTAAGCTAGAATTTGAGTTTAGTTCTATTTAGTTTCAAAATCTGTGCTCTTAATGCTGTACTATTCTGCCTCTTATATGTGAATTTACTCTTCAGTGCTTCATATTCCTGACACTGTAATACTTCACTGTCACTGAATATTTACGAATCCATACATCTAATGAATATAAATTATGATACTGCCCATGCTCTCTTCAGTCTACTCAACAGGTGTTTTTATCACCTCATGCATGTCCAATTCTGTGATGTTATTTACTGGCAGTCTAAATACAGTAGTGAGGAAAACAACTTATGTCCATACAATTTTGGAGTTTACATTCTAGTATGTAGAGTTAGGCAGTAAATGAAAATATAATGCTTAATGAGGTTATAAGTGCAGTGAAGGACAATGAAGTAATGTCAGAGAAATAAAGAGTACAAGTGAAGCAGCTATGATATTAAAAAGGATAGTTAAGCATTAATCCAAAAGGACACCTGCACCCCTGTGTTTATTGCAGCACTGTTTACCGTAAGTAAGCTATGGAAACAACCCAGATGCCCAAAAATAGATGACTGGATCAAGAAGATGTGGTATATATACACAATGGAATATTACTCAGCAATTAAAAAAGTTAAACTCATGCCATTTGCAGCAACATGGATGGAGCTGGAAGGGATCATGCTCAGTGCAATAAGCCAGAAAGAAAAAGAAAAATATCGGATGGTTTCACTCATAGGAGGACTGTAGAGGATCCAAATAAGGGATCAGGGAAAAAAAGTAATTATAATAAAGTAAAAATCAAAATCAACAGGCAGCTATACCAGAGACATTCTGCAGTGGGAAAGAAGGAAGTAGGATCAAAACGGGTGGGAAGAGCACAAGAGACCATGGTGATGGTTCATGGGTGAATGGGTGGTGCGAATTTCACTGAGATGAAAATGCATACATTGGG